ATGTGAGCTTGCAGCAACACTGGCAACGATGTGTGGCAACTGAAGAATTAATTAATGCATGTTTCGATTATAACACAACTTAGTTTCAATGTGGACAGGTTTTGATTACTCGTGTTTTCAATTAGCTGGCCAATGTTTTGGCGCTTTGGTTTAATTAGCGAAAGGCGGACAGATTGTTAGACATCAGTTGTGACATACACACGTTTTCTTAAACCATAAATTGGCAACAACGAAAACATAAATTAAATATACTCTAAAACATTCAGACAGGGCCTGACACATTTAACAATTATTAACTTAGTTTGTACCTTACTTGTGAATAACACGCCAATTATCTGTGTGAAATAGTTGAATGACTGACACTTGAATACGCATGCTTTTATATTCTCTATAACTAGATGTCTGAGCAAATCGTAAATCTAGATCTATGTACTGATTGACACTTTTCGTTCTAACATACGAAGTTAATTTATTAAAATGTCGATTTTCTTTTACCTTTTGATAATAAATAGTATTTAGTAAAAGTAGTTTCATAAATAACGCGTCATTGAAATAATAAAATCAATTATCAACAAGTATGTTACATTTTTATGATCGCAGATAGTAATGCGGCCGTCCGAAATGAGCGTATTTGCTTTTAATTCTTTCTTTTGCACTTACCAACTCTACGTCATCCTCACATTCGCCGTTCTCTTCAATTATATTTGTTAATAAGGCACTAGGTCTAATCGAGACTCTGTTTCGAACCCCTGAAGATCTCCTCCAAAGGTCCACATCATCTTTAGTATCGTCTCCTAAAGAAGAGAATTGCTCATAGAAGTTTATCACACCAGCTAATTCGCCTTCTAAGCTGTTTTCTGAACTTTCCGATACAGTCCTTTTTTCAACAGATTTTCTGTCATCTATCTTTTTGTAGCCATCATTATTGTCTCCGACTGCTACTGCAGTTCTGTGGTTGTTATATTCGAACTCCAAATCGAAACCTCTGCCTTCGAAAAGACTTTTAAATTTCGCCCAGCATCCGATTTGTTTATCATCTTTAACTTGATCGTTTTTTGAGTTTTTATCCATTTTATATTCAAACTATTGTATTACATCATGAAGTACTAAATTAAATTCTGACACTATCAACTTAGTTGTTGATTAAGTTATCAGTAGGTAGCTTATTTTAATGAATTATGTTGATTAACAGTGTTTCCTATTTGTCAGTTGCATCAGTTCAAATACTTCCGCGTATTGTATTAATTTCACTATCACCATTAAAATCGAATGTAAATTCACACGAAATTAAATTCACGCGACGTTTTAATTTATCTGTTATAATATTCACTTCAAGAAATAATTATGACATGATAACGAATGTATTATTCACGTAATCTGACTGACGAACACCACGTATGCTCCAACTAGAGCTCAAACAAACACTCAAGTACAAATTCTTGATTAAATTCGATAAGTTTTTTGTTATCATTTAGACTTGCACTGATTACGGCTAATTACAAGTTCCGTTAAAAGGAATATAAAGTAGTCGTTTGGGAAATATCTAAAATTTGTATGTACTAGATTGTAATTTTCTTAAGGATTTACAAAGAAAAAAATAACTCTTTTTAAAAAAACCTATTTTGTTAATGAAGTGAATTTTTACATAATACATGTCATGTTATTTAAATGAGTATCCTAATTGACTATACATGTGTTTCTGGAAGTTCAGCGATATGTCTTCATTTATTATCTGTAATTTATCAAGCATAAACAGTATCGGAGTCGCCAGCGGCTTGGCTGATGACTAACTATACGAACTACCCAAAAAAAATTAGTCGTCTGTTCGTTGGCGAAATGTGAAATCGAAACCCCGTTTTTCATTTGTTATAGGCAGTAAAATTTCTTTAAAGTAATAGTTACATCTCGAGTTTGACCAAACGATAACGAACGCATTCTTTAGTTAAATCATAAAGGGGGAGTATTAGTTCATTTCAAGTCAAATATAAAGCATAAATATAATATTATATACTATAGATACGGGGACAGTGAAATTTCTAAGTTTCTCCGATGAATTTTATCATGAAACAATTTTTTTATAAAATTTACTAATATTGTTAACATTGACATTTTGCTCAAGATACGTTCTATGTAATTATGTTATACAAATCAGACCCTCTTCACAGCTTCGTTATCTTTTGATTGACTTGGATAGATTATCTTCATCGTTAACAAAGGACGCATCACACCGGATGTGAGTACGTAGCTGGAGCGCCTGGAGCTTCCGGAAACCCTTGACACGTGTACGTTGGGATGACTTAGAGCCGCTTTGTTGAGCTGTCGATAATCAAGAAGGGCTCGATTGTCCGGCCATACGCTTCGTCAGTCGTGAAGAGAAAAGATTAGGTTATATTATACTCCTATCGAAAATAATGTCCTGTCTTAGCTTACGATTTAAGATTATTACTATACGCGTCGGTTTACTGATGACAGTAAATAAGATAAGATTTATTGATGCAGTGAATATTAAATATCTATACTACGTAAGTGTTATTAAAAATCGGAAACTAAATATTCGTTAAATTCGAGAGAAAGAAATTCAGTATCGCTTACATAATTATCGGAATAAATTGCCTGCTTAATATTTTTAAACTTGGTTTTTGGATAATTTCTTTTGTTAAATAGGAGAGTCGCTAGTTTAATATATAAAGATGAAGGCACCGATCAGGTTGCGTCTACGTCGACTTTGGTACATCAGATAGGATATATCATTGCAAAGATACCTAATGCATTAAAATAAAAAGTCCTTGATAAGAAATCTTATATTGTTTACAATTTTTTTGTTATTCTAGATTGTTCTACGAGTTTACAACGAAACTAACATGCAGTAGTTATCGGAGCCCATTTATATCACAATGTTAATGAGAGTCGGGTTTGTGATATGANTACGTCGACTTTGGTACATCAGATAGGATATATCATTGCAAAGATACCTAATGCATTAAAATAAAAAGTCCTTGATAAGAAATCTTATATTGTTTACAATTTTTTTGTTATTCTAGATTGTTCTACGAGTTTACAACGAAACTAACATGCAGTAGTTATCGGAGCCCATTTATATCACAATGTTAATGAGAGTCGGGTTTGTGATATGATGTCGAAGTCTCTAGCTTACTGACAAGTCTCTACTGTTCCGCTCTTCAAAACAGATATGGAATCGATTATTATCACCTCATAACCTATTACGAGTATAACCAAGTATCACGTTACATCTATATATAGTAATTTCATATTTTTATTTCGTTACTCGGTGTTACTTCTTTGTCGTAGATGTCGTTCGAGAATTTTATCAGATACTAGTTTCAGATCGCGACCTATTCCGCGTAAAAAGTAACATTAATTACACGATGTTCAAAGCTTTATTGGGCGTAATTGAGTAGCAAAAATCCAAGTATCTTCAAAATTTGCACATTCAGTTTCAGTTTTTACGGCCGACTGCCCCACTCCTCAAGCCGCAACGTATTACTGTTTCATGACAGCAACAGACAGGGTGGTGGTACCTAAGTGGGCTCACAAAACGCTCTAATATCAGTAAAAATGCTATTTTTTTTCTGGTTTGATTTCCATCAGAAGATTTAAAATCACCATAGTCGTATCATTCGATATCACTACATCGGGTGTTTCCTGAATTAGTCGCGGTCATTAAAAATATTTATCGTGATATGTATACCGAACACGTATACGGAATATTTCAGTCGATTTCTCCATACCGATTTGTTGTTGAAAGAAAATATTAAAGACGAAACTTCCCCTCCTGATATGACATCATTTTTAGGTCGAGTTTGTTTGATTCGACAAAAATGTTTTATTTTTCTTAATCAGCGGGCTTCGTAAATAGACGCGTCCTATTTGTGTCAAAAGTTATCGAGAGCCGGTCGACTTAAAAGGGTGCGTATGAAAGTTCGCGTCAATGTTCTAGAAACGTATCGATTACGTTGATGACGAATAAATCTCTGGTACCAGATTATTTGGAATGATTTATTGTCAGTATTGTGGTATTCGAGAAACAGCCGGTATTATTGAAACTACTATGTCGTGCAATGAAATTGCTCTTGTCCATAATTATAATGATTTATATAATAATACATATTATAACAGGCAAACACAAAATGGCTGAGTACCGTTTTTTGCCTTTAATTTTCTATCTATTTGCGGCATGCGTCCATGTGGCAGAGATGCGAATGTTGAAACAACAAGAAACAAGAGAGAAAGAATAGAAAAAAGAAAGAAAGAAAGAAAGAAAGAAGAAAGATAAGGAATGAGTATATCAGAAGATGTGTGTAAGTAGCCCGGTAATTAACAAACTAAAGCGCGGACAGTTAGCGTAGTATGGACATGTGATGCGTAGATAGAAGATACATGTGACTAGGAGATGTATGGAAATGGTAGTACAAGGTCGACCGAAGAAGACATGGATGGAGTGTGTGAATGACGATATGAGAGAGAGAGAGAGAGGAGTGAGTATTTGAGATGCTTTTTTGCGGGCACTTTTTGGTGGTGGTTAGAGGTTTATATGCACTATTTGTTTTTGGTTTTCCAGACGAGAAAATAAATATTCGAAATTTCCGATGACGTTATAGACAATAGCAAACAAATGTGATAGCTCTAATATGAATAAGTTTTGATAGAACATGACGTAAAAGGAAAGTCGTGTAGCTATTTTTGTTGTACAACAACCTTATTAGACTCCCATTTGACTAACTACATAATATTCTTTGACTGTGTCCGAAATTATTATGTAAGCCCACTATCAAGCGTCCAGTATCATGTATTATACAATCCTATCTTCTTCTTGGTCGTTTGCACCCAGAGTGGTCGTGGTCATGAGTGGTGGTGCGCTTCACACGACGTCGCAATTTCTGGCGCATCGCGGCCTTTCTTATGGACTCGTTGACGGGATCGTTTAGAAATATAAATGACGAAACTATTTTGTTATAATATACATAATAAAATGCACTTACAGTGACATCAACTAAAGGTTCATCCTCTGGTGTTAGAGCGAGGGAGGAACGTCGGCCGGCACGAGCTCCTGGCGACCCACTTGAACTGCCTGTTGACAACAGAACGATCATTAATTCAGAAGCATTACATTACATTCCGTAGACACAACGATTACATAAGTAAATTATTCGGTCGGTCCCAATCTTGATTGCCGCCACAAATGCTAATAATATACGTTGCGAATTTATGGCTAATAATTTCTGAACCGACAGCATTCGTAGGACTCACATAGCAATCACATAGCAATTTTATGTGTTCGAGGACTGTTTTAAACAAAAAACAAGACAGTGAAAACTTAGATAACGTTTCTTTTTAAGCGAAACTTCTTTAGGCGCTATGCGAATAAAATTTAACTCGCGCTAGATTCGTTACGGCTAGAGAGGGAAGATACAATTTAGGACGAGCGAGAGTAAGAAAATAGACAGGGCGTCTCGTAAAACACTCTATTTTGGAGAGAGAGAGAGAAAGCGAGCTAGGTCGTTTCTATTATAAACATTCTATTTACGGGCGTCGGCCACTAGATGGCTGTTAATAGTTTCTCATTGCTCCTGTAGATGGCAGTAATATATTAACTATCTTATATTTTATTTTTATGAAGAATCTATTTTAATTAAAAATGAAGAAAATACACAATACTACACACCCCAAAAGAAGTTTCACTTCTATCAAGTGCAGCAAGTTACACGCGCACCATTTTTTTGAACTTTTAAATTTCTCGCTCTTTTGTTAAAAAAATTACCTTTCTAGTTATAATATTATCTGTGTAATATACATTTTATTTGATATAATTAACCTTGAGGTAAAATTAAAATATCGAACACAGAGATAATTTTTTTAAATAATTATTCCAAGTATGTTACTCTGTATGTACTCTGAAATTACTATGTACTCTGATCGATAGTTTTTATTTCTAAATTACTTTATGTAAGTGATTATGGTCGAATCCCGTTAATTGGAAGTACAAAGGTTTTAATGAAATTTAGTTTTTCAAATTATTGAGACTGACAAGATTAAAAACAATTTTTTGTACTGTAGTACTGAAGCTTAATTTTATTTTTTGCAATCTAGGAACGGAAGTTTCTTTCTAAATATAATTCCAAGTTACTAGCGCCATGGGTATTTCTGCAAAAAATTGATTGTGACTTCTTGTATGATTGTAAAGCTGTGTTTTATAAGATCGATATATTATTATCGCATTTGTTTTATATACAAAATTTATTTTATTTGTGTGATTGACGATAGAGCCGTGTTGTTTTTGACCTTAGATTGTTGCTCAGTAACAGAAGTGCCGTAGCTCATTAGTCAATTCAACGAAAGCTTAAGGTCAACCAGATTGATTTGAAAAATACTTATAAGAAAGACGCGGGGCCTTTGGTAGTGACAAACGCGCGAGACTCACGATCCATCATCTCGATTGTTTTGAGTTGTGTAATGGCATGTATTAGACAACTGATCGAACAGTTTGTTGGGACATTATGCATATTTTTTTGTTTGTTCTGATATTTGGATGGTGTCGAAATTTATTTTTAACTTTGCATAATTTTTTGGAGTGCATTTATAGTCTATTGAAAAGTTACATTTAGGGTTGCGTTTTTCAAAGGACGCAATTTTTTTTTTTTGAGTGTTAGTTTAAGTGTTATTTTTTTTAAGTAGGGCGGGTTAATATAAACGTAAGTTTATGTTTGTGGGGTTGCCACCTTTGTCCCCCGGCCGCCATCTTGGAAAAAGGGGTGCAAAAGGTTTTTGCGCTGTATCTCGTTAACTAGCAACCCTACAGAAAATTTAAAACACATTATCTGTAGAACTAACCTAACTAAACTAAGCCCACTACACATAAAAAAGGCCTCCTCTGAAAAACGCACGCTAAGGCCTAAAAAATATAACATTTCAATGGACTATCAGTATCTTTTTAAAATACGCTACGAATTAACAACACTCTTCTTTTTACGTTATGTCGGTAGAAAGTTCGAATCTCCACAAAAAATATTAATGATTTGGTTTAACACGCTTTTAATACCTTGGTATGTTTATTTGTTTGGAACGGAATGTTTGAACGTCATTATCCCCGACATCTTTCTTTTTATGATTGAAAGATTACTGGTGGCCCGGAGACCTTTCCAGTTTCACCAGGACAGGATCTCCGACATCAAGACGTCCGGTTAACTTGAGAATTTGCATTTGCAGCAAGAACCGATGATAATACAATAATTTTATAGCTTCGCTCTAATATCCTGACCAGTAACATCAGAATAAAAAAAGATGAAATTAATTGTTAGTTGGGTTTATTATTTAAGCGTGTTTTAAATTTTAAATTATGTATGTGTATTCAATATACATGCTAATTCAAACAGAAAATATTTATTTGCAATAATTACATTCTTTTGGTGGGTTTTCTTCTGTTTCAAGTTCATCGCTGTCTCGCCTCTGGAGCCATCTTTGAACTAATTCAATGCTGGCTTCTTCACCAGCCAACATCTTAGCTTCACAAATTCATTTCGTTATGATACAACGCTACGACATTTATAAAACCACTCGACATAATAATGTCTCGAATCACGCGTTTACACTTTCACTGACAAGAAAACGTTATATGTTTAAAAATCATCTAATTACGATAGCAATGCTGAATTATATTTAAAGATCATGACACATAAATGAATTTGAGTACTAGATTGTTCTACGGAGGGCCCGACGTTAGTGGAAAGTCAATAAGAACTGTGTTCAAATTTCGTATTAATGAAGCCATTAACGGGCGACTGTAAGCAGTGAACATCGGAGATCAAACAAATTTATTTTCGCGAACCGAAGCTTAGGTTTATTTTTATTTTTATTGCCTAGATGTGTGGACGAGCTCACAGCCCACCTGGTGTTAAATGGTTACTGGAGACCATAGACGTCTACAACGTAAATGCGCCACACACCATAAGATAGAAGTTCTAAGGTCTCAAGTATAGTTACATCGACTACCCCACCCTTCAAACCGAAACGCATTACTGCTTCACGGCAGAAATAGGCGGGGCACGATTATCGATTTTAAGCCCGTCTAGCGCACAGTTTAATAAGCCCATTTTTCTTTGTAGCGTTCCCTGCAGTTTCTTGTGTCGGTGAGGCGAGAATGTAGTCACCTTGGAGCGAATGTAGGACAAAGCAAATGAACCGAAAGTAGTGAGGGAGTGCTAGTTGAGAATTACATAATTTTAAAGCTTCCTTGTTGAACTTATTAATTAACAGAATAATTGCTGAACGATTTTGCTTAGGTGTCTGACTGGTATGGCTCACGCAGCCCGATGAACTAGGTTTCTAGAAAATTCGTTAATTCATCGTTTGATTTAAAGCACTATTTATGTTATTGGTTATGTCGAGTTTCTTAAATTACCGCAAAAAATACAAAATACATGATTTCCGAGGATTTTTCTTTATGTTTATTACGTAAATCTTACGGTAATTAGAGTTCAATTAAAAATATTTATTTCGTGCTATAGAGCTGTTATTGGGCATTTAAGAACGACCTTGATAATCATCTACATGCCTAGTCTTAACATATATATTTCTTCTGTGCGTGTGTTTGTCACTGAACTCCTCTTAAGCGGCTGGACCGATTTTAATGAAATTTTCTGTGTACCTTCAGGGGGATTGGAGAATGGATTTACAAATCAGCCCGGCAGATGGCACTGCAGTTAGTAGGTTATTTATCTTTCTTAGAAATAATTTATATGGCAAAACAACGTTTGCCGGGCCAGCTAGTATAAAATACTTTTACAAATAAAATAGAATAGTAATTTCGTACGTTCATAGTTTACTACTATTCAATTTCGGGTACACATCTCAGCATTACCTGTCTCCACAAAAGGATTCGCTATCCCTTTTTAACGAAAGAGGACTAGTAGTTTGACAATCGGTTGTTTCCCGCTGTTTGTAAGCTCAAATAAAAACGTACTTAATTTACATTACAGATTACACATATCCAAGTTAAATAGGCGACTAAAACAGACGCATTGTCTTACTATAATTTTATTCATGACTAGCTGACCCGGCAGACTTCGTAGTGCCTCAATCGATAAATAAAAGACCTAAACTTTTGTATAAAATAAACTTAAAACAAACAAAAGGAATCCGTCCGACGGGGGACACATCAAAGGATTTTAATTCCGAGCATTTTCATATTTGTCTAACTTTTAAACCTTCTCTGGACTTCCACAAATAATTCAAAACCAAAATTAGCCAAATCGGTCCAGCCGTTCTCGAGTTTTAGCGAGACTAACGAACAGCAAGTCATTTTTACATATATAGAAGATAGAAGATATAGTGATAATCACTAAACGATCACCCCAGAATAAACATAAAAAAGAAATAAAAAGAAAAATGTTAATGCGACAAAGTCAAAGTTAAAAATGCAAGACCGATAAACTCAAGACCTTTTTCGCTTCTACAACTCAAAAGATTGAAGATTAATGATTCTCAATTTTCCTTGAATCGGTGGTAAACAAATTGATGTCATTAGATTGTTTTGTAAGAACTGCTGCGGCTTTAATGATGATTGCCTTCGATCACGATAAAGTAATTTGAATATAACAGAAACCTTACAAGGATGTTTCGGTTTTCTGTTAATGGAAATTTTATTGGAACGCAACTGAAAAGGATGGTTATTATTTTTCGAAATGGCTGCGCGATCTTTCTAAAACGCGACCAAACGCAACATGATAATGTGTGACGTCATTCGGGGCCAAAATAAAAGAGAACTGACCATATAATATATACTCAAAGCCTCGAATAGCGAATAGCCAATATTTCGAATAGAATGATTCCATTTTATTAAAAAATTTAAAAATCTATATATTAATACGTGAAGCAAAAACTATGTATCCCTTTTTACGAAAATTGCGCGGACTGAGGAGTATGAAATTTCCCACACTTATAGAGAATATAGCGAAGGAGTCCGGAACGGTTTTTTTTTTAAATTATGCATTAATAATACATTAAATCAATAAAAAAAAACGTTACATACACTACCATATATTTGACACACACGCATATGAATACTCTATGTTT